GGGGGCGAGTAGAAGGGAAAGAGCCGCGGCCACGGAAGGCCGGGGGGTGCGCTGCGGCGCCCCCACTTACCAGGTGCCTCACGTTGGAAAGTTGAACTAAACCCTTGGGTCTCAGAGTTTCCTCCGTCGTAAGATGAAGGAACTATGCTCCCCTACCCAGGGTTAAAAATACAAAACCGGCGACGTGGGGTCGGTCGTAGGGGTGGGGCTCGTGGCGAGAAGCTTCCTTCCGTCTCCACACGGACGCTCACCGAGGCTCTCAGGATCGTAATGCAAATAGATCGATTAATAAGGGTTTCTCTGAGCCCGCTCCGAGGATAGCCAGGCCCCTGCTGGAACTGTTCCTAAGCAACCGCTTCCTGCCCTTTTCTGCAGCCTCTGCCCACGGAACCCCGTTAATGCTATTATGTCAATACTTCTGAAATAAAAGCCCCATTGACCTAATAGGAAGGATTTGGTTAATTAAATACATATGCAAGTTATCGTTTCCAGGAAGTCAAAGTATTCTTGCAACGACTCTATATGAATTTTTCAGAAAAACAAAATGATTGCAGGTCAAACTGTAATAAAAAGAACTGAAGACGTGTTCTCGTGACCATTCTGGTTACACAGCCCCCCACCCCCGAAATACATTCGAGAATGGAGGATGTTTGCTGCCGAGTCCTTGTCTGTAAACATAGAGGCCGCCTCTGCTGTGCCCACCGTCTCACAGGTGGTGAGTGGGCGGCGTGGACCCGGAGGAGCCTCCACCCACACCCGGGGGCAGGGTTCTCTGCGGTCTCTCTACCCCCCCCCGTCTGAGGGCTGCAGAGAGAGAGCCCGCTCCCCACGCCGGACGCCACGTGTTAGGATGGGGCGAGGGGCTTTGCACATGCTGTTCCATGTCTTCTCCGCAGTGTGTCTTTGGTCCCATTTCAGAGACGGTCTAACGGAGGTTTGCAGAGGCCAGCTCGTCCGAGCCCCTTGGTCCAGCTCTTCCTTCCTGGGGCTGCCACACGCCTGGTAGCTGAAAGCAATAGAAATTCCTCCTGTCACGGTGCGAAGGCCAGAAGCCCGACATCGAGGAGTCCGCAGGGCGATGCTCCCGCTGAGAGCTGCGGAGGAGGGTCCTTCCTTGGGTCGTCCTGGCCCCTGATGTCGCCGGCCACCCTCGGCGCTCCTCAGGTGGAGACACGTCGCTCCCGTCTCTCCCTCCAGCGTCACGAGGCATTCGCCCGGCGTCTGTGTGTCTAAATTTTCCTCCCCTTCTAAGGCTATTCGTCATCGGGTTAGTGCGCACCCCCGCCAGGGTGCCTCAGCCTGACACAGCCTGGTTACGTCCATAAAGACCATTCCCAGGCACGGCCGCCTCCGCACGCGCTGGCGATTAGGGCTTGAACCTGCCTCTGGGGAAACACATTTGCAACCATGACGGTTAGCGACTGGCGTCTATTTTTCTGTGCGTGTGAATCGGATGGTTCCAGAGGTATTTTCAGAGTGAACCATGAGGTCCGTGGCCTTGTCTCTCCCCTTCTTTGAGAAGCGGGAAACAGACAGCAAGCGAACCTTTCCAAGCAGCCGAGCACTCTAAAAACGACTGACATGAGGATTATCTAATGCCGATGTGCAGACATCCAGAAAGCCCAGACTGCAGTGCGGCGGGGGGAAGGGTGTGCGTGGGAGTAACTGACGGGCGGCCTGTGGACTTCAGTGGACAGCAGGCCTAGCGGGGCCTCCGCATCGTAGCCTCAGGCTAGCAGGCCTAGCGGGGCCTCCGAATCGTAGCCTCAGGCTCTCCACGAAGTGGACGTGTTAACGGTAACAGATTAGCTGGCGGAACTCAGGTGGGACCTGCCCGGCTCCGCCCCGGGCCGAGCAAACCGCACCCGGAGTGACGCGTTCGCTGTGGAGCACGTACGTTGTAGAAAACAGGTTGAGCTGTTACGGCAAATAGGTGCGAACGTACATTATTCCCTCAAGCACAATAAAAGCTCCTCCTCTATCAGGTAGCAGGTCCGAACGTTATGGGATGGGTGTCTATGCCACCCCCACACCCCCGATTGACATGTTGAAACGCTGACCCCTCGCCGCGGTGGTATTTGGAGGCGGGCCTTTGGGCGGTAATCAGGTTTAGATGGGTCCTGCGGGTGGGGCCCTCACAGCGGGGTCAGTGCCCTCCTGGGAAAAGGGAGACCGTTCGGGGCTCCTGCCCTCCCCCGTGTGAGGGCCCAGCGGGCAGGGGAACCTCACCCAGGCCTGGCTCTGCTGGGCCTCGGCCGGGACTCTCCAGCCGCCGGCACTGTGAGAAAACAAATTCCTGCTGCTGAAGCCACCCAGGCGCGGGGTTCAGCTGCGGCAGCCGGAGCCCCGTCGGACCCCGGCGAGAAGAAGCTGCAGCTCCGCTCCGCGGGAGGGGCAGGGCCCAGGGCCTCTTTCGCTCGTCGCCCTATTATTTCCAAGAGAGCCGACTAATTGGGCGGCGTCAGGGACCCCTCGGTGTTCTCCAGGGTGTTTTCTGTCTTTCCCTTGACGGTGTAACTCGACACATTTCCTCGGGCCAATGATCACCCGGCGGCCGGCTTCGCCTCCGAGCTCTGAGCCAAACGATTAAATCTGAACCATGGAGTTTGAGCGGAAGCCACGGGGCAGCATCCGTGTCTCTTTCTGGAGGCCGCGCTTCTGCGCCTTCCGTTGGCTTCACTGACTGCGGGGGTCGCGTCCGGGCGCCCGATGTCGGACTCGGCACCGTGCTAACGCTGGGGCCCCGGGCAGGAGGCGGGGCCCCTCTCAGCCTCGCCTGTGGACTACTTCCGATGCCCACCTCATGGGACTGTGGTGAAGGGCAAGAAAGGCCACGCAGGTGTGGGCCCTGGCGCAGAGGGTGTGGTTGGTAAATGCCAGGATTTCCTACCCTGTTCCCTCCCTGCCCAGAAAGCTGGCACGGCCCCCGCTGCCCCCCGGCGTGCTCACCTTGGCTCTCGGTGCCTTTTGCAGACCACCCTTACGAAGACCTTCCATTGACCAGACAGGGCTCCCCCCACGGGGGTCTCCTCCTTTACCCAGGTCTACGGACTAGAGCTTGACCCCGCGACCAGGCCCGCAGTCCAGTCGAGCTGACACACGGAGGAACCACCACGAGGCCCGGCAGGGCCCCGAGAGCCCTGAGCTCCGAGGCCTAAGCGGAAACGGGCGCCTCTGCCTGCGATCGGCATAAACGCCCTGGCCGCCTCCACACCCGCGAGACCTTCAGGGCGAAGCTCCACCCTCTGGGTCGCCGGCTTCGTCACCACCGGCAACCCCTGGACAGGACCCTTTCTCTGGGGAGATGCAGAGGAAAGTTCCAGTGGGGCTTGGCCGAAACGGGGGTCTCTTGCTTGATCCGTTGGTACCAAACGCACATGAACGTTTGCCTCCTCTATTCAAGACCCGGTTCCCACGCAGCTGATTTCTACAAAAAGTGCTCCCACGAGCGCCGGCCGGGGGCTCGGTCGGCTGGAGCTCCACCCGGCACACGGAAGGGTCGCGGGCTCGGCTCCTCTCACATCCATGTTTCTCTCGCTTCCTCTCCCGAATCAATAACAACGTGCCCTCGAGCGATGATTTTAAAGAAAGTGCTCCCGTGAAAACTTCAGAGAACGTGTCAGTGTCTTCGGCTTGGCCAGCGATTTTCTATATTTCTACCCTATGTCCTGTAAATACGACGGAGGGAATTCCCTCGTCTACGGCCTCAGCGCGGCCTCCAGGGTGGCTGGGAAGGACGGGGGCGAGCGGCCTTGGAATCCGCGGCAGGCGCTCTGGTCCGCGCTCGCAGGCGGGGGACCAGCTCCCGGAGAGGAGCCCGCGACGCTTGGCCGCGCTGCGGGCGATTCCCCCCACGCAGACAGCGGACGCCAGCGTGTCCGGAGTCTGCCCCACACTTCGGCTAAAAATTGCTGGGAGCACATATGTGTCTGAGTCAGGATTAGAAACCAGCGGCGGCCCCTTTCCCTCCCCACGCCTCGCAGTTGCTGACTTCAATTAAGGAAAGTAGCTGCTGTGACGTTCCTGGGCCCGCGCGGGAACGGCTGCTGGAACCTAGCAACGATTCGAGGAAAATGGACGTTAATTTTGTCAAGTGTCGCTTGGCTGTCATTAGCCGTGGTTCCCCGGCGCCGAGCGTGGGACCACGGACTCTGGGAGATTTCTGTGAAACGGCAGCCGGGCCCCTAATAGGAGCTCTTAGAGGTGCTCAGCTATTCAGCCCTTTCTGGGCTTTGCCTATAAGGCTTTGGGGAGAATTATAGGGTTTTTTATGTCAGCGAAAGGAAATTTCTCTCGCGTCTACGGTGAAATTATATATGATGGCATCTATTCCTGTACTTAGCGACACTGCCAGCCCTTGTAAATTCACTGGTGTCGAGCTCACTCCAGGTGCCACGAAAGTGCCAGTGCTGAGTTCGGATAAAATTGGACGGCCGTTTAAATATGGAACAAGGGGAGGTAACCCAGTCACCCCAGAAAAGGGTGAGCGAAAGCAGCAGGAAGGGGGTCTCCCCTTTCCGGTGCCGGGTGTCCACTGTGGTTCCCACACCGACCTCCTGACGGTGGGGTTCCCGGCGGTCCCTGGGCCCTCAAAGGTTTTTCATTGAAATAGTGCCTCGTGCCCCCGGCAGGTCTCAAGCTGCGTCAACAAGAAACAAAAAAAAACTAACACAAGAAAAATTTGTCATTTGAGCCACTGATCTAAAGACAGATACTATTTCTTGATTTTATAAGACCACCTTAAGATTATACAGCGTGCTAAAGACCCCAAAAAGGTGTCGTCCCCTCGAACACAAAGTGTGCCCCTCCTTAAACAGTCAGCACAGTTGGCATTTCCCACGGACTGTTGTTTGTTCACTGTCTGCCCCCCTGCAGGTCACAGTCCGTTCACGGAGGCCACAGACTTTATATCCGCCGGGCCGTGCACAGAGCGGGTGCTCGATGAATATCCGTCCAGTGAGTTATTCTCTATTCACTCACCATTCATTCCAAAATATTTACTAAACGGCTACCATGTCCTGGGAGCTACAATAAAAATGCACTCGCCCGGCTGGTGTGGCTCAGGGGTTGAGTGTCGACCCACCAGGAGATCACGGTTCAAGTCCTGGTCGGGGCACATGCCTGGGTTGCGGGCTTGATCCCCTGAGGGGGCCTGCAGGAGGCAGCCGATCAA